ATATATATATATATATATATATATATATGCATGCAAATGTTTGCATTTTCCTCCATAGTAATCAAGATTGCTATAAAACATCAAACAGTTAATATTAAGATATATAAAACTAGATGAGGGCATATTTGCATTTATATTGGAGAACACGACGACTTTGTACAATGCAAGAACTAGGCTGGTATATAATAAAGGGGTGTGGGCTAAAACTTGGCTTTGATTGTCTTTTAAAATTAGGCAACCAACAATTTGAGGTGAAAAATTACGTGAGTGGAATTAATGCATTTTTATCAACAAAGAGTTTTGAAATGGGGTAATATGTTTTATGTTGACAGGAATGTTTGAAACTCACAGAGATTAATCCAATATATTCCTTAGAGAAGATCTGCTTAAGTGTCCATAAACACAGCCAAACCCAGGAATTCCGCCCTCCCTCCTACATACACATACACAAACGTGCGCGCGCGAGTAAGCATACATGGACACAAATTAAAGGTGTTTGTTTTGTTTTCATCACTTTATTTCACTCAGGCAGCGAAAAACCTAATTGTGGAGTGTTTTTGCCTGATATAGACAAAGATCTTGCTGGGGAATGTTTTTGCCCAATAAAGACAAAAATCTTGCTGTGTCAAAAATATTAAAAATGAATAAATGAACAAACAAGAAAAATTATGTGACCATAATTCCCCATTTCACGTACTGGTATGTGTATTATCTTTAATTACTTTAAATTCTAAGGTACTTGGTTAGTTGTCAACACAATAAGAATAGTAGGAAAAAAGCGCCAAGTATGATAAAAAGCAACAGTGCTTTCATCACCCATGACATAAAACAGAAACTGCCATAACATCCAAAATGCGACATTCATCGCCTCATATCAGTAATATCACCCTTATTGATACTTATGAGTGAATGATAGACATATCAAAAAGATCTAAAGTATACGCAAGTACACAAAGAACCGCATGAAGTCCTCCAAGATACTGAACAAGTCATAGAGCTGTCTGTAACATATGAATCATTAAGAAATATGAATAAGGAACTTGAAGGTAGCAAATTAAATCTTATCCAGAAACATACAACCTTCTTTCGTGATACTACTACTATACTAATGATACTGATAATAAAAATAAGAAAATGATAACAGTTACAACAACAGCTTTTGTAATCTGTAGCTGCCATTTGTGATACAGATGGTAGCAATTGTAATCAAGCAATAATGATAATGATTGTTTTCTAAATAGATATGACTCACATAATCATAACAGTAACACTGATAAACTCCTAAACAACATTAAACACAATAATGGTAGTTGGAATTGCCCTAATGTAACATTGTGTCGTGTCTATAGAGTTCTAGCCAAGGAGAACTTTCCATCCACCCACATCCCCTGGAGAAGTTCCAGTCCCCACCTCCTGTTCCTCTGCTTATTCCCTCACACTTTGAACAAGCCCTTTTCTTCTTTCCTCAAGCTTTTTGAATACCAAAAACTAATCAACAACATGCAAACGAGTACATGAACTTGCTGCACAAGTTGAAAAGTTACACTCATGAACTACAAAGGGCATGGCTTATTTTATCATTACTGAGCAGTCTTTTTCAGTATCCCCCTTGGCTTCCTTGAAAGGTTTCTTGAAGTAGGGCAAGAAATGTTAATTGTTACTAATCTACCCATATCTTTACTGCAATGGTATATGTAAATTAATAGGCTAACTCTATTTCTACTCATTATATGACATACAGTTTCTGGATTTTCTTTTGAATTTTGAATATGACTGCAGGAGACTGGTTTCAACTTGAATGACAATTAAGATTATATGCATACTGAGGCAAGAGAAGAAAAATACAAAATAAAAACTAATGGTCTAAGACATATTTACTTATAAGACATATAATGAATTTCACAAGTAGTCTTACAAAATGAAGTTATAAAATGGATATCAATACACAATATAGTTGCATTCTTTGTACTCTGTCAGTTTTCCTTTTTGGCTATCAACAATACAAGTCCATACACTTCACACAGCCACTAATATATATGTAAAATTTCAACAGATAAGGATAAAGACAATGATGTAATACTGGCCAGAACAAGCAGGCAAATGGCAAGCAGAGCCTCAGGTGAGTGAAGAGTAGAACATATTCTCAGACACATGGAATCTTACACTGTTATGTAACAGTTTGTTCTTCCTTATTTTCTGGATTTTCAGAAACATCTTTTGGTGACTGTGCCATTGTTTTTTTTAGAAAAGTTAAAATATGTTTGGTGATCTTCACCTTAAGAAATCACTTATATTTTCATGGTGCTTTTCAAAACTGAATAAAATGTGCCACTTTTACCTGAACTTTTTTGTAGATCATGTTTTACTGCCAGTCAAAGTTCTATACATAATTCAAAAAGAATGTACAGAGATTCAAAGCAGTAACTCAGGTCTATACAATCACTAACATCTATGGAAATATACTACTGATTTGTTATAAAAAAGAGACAAACATGAATCATAGACTATACAACTATTTAAAACTGAAAAAAATCCCTGAAAGTAATTTGATTTTAAAAATATGCTTAAAATGAAATGCACTCTAAAATATAATATACTGTACTGTACTTAGAATTATTTTAGACTGGATACTGACAATCTTTTGATATCTAAATTTGGGAGAACTTTCACTAATATGGCTTAAAACAGGTATTACTGAGGCTGATCCTGCTAGTAAATATATATGCTTAAAGCACATCTTTATGATTAACAATAAAATGGACAAGAAAATACATTTGTATAATAAGACACAGAAAATAACCAGGTCATGAAAAATCATTTCAGAGGCATAACTTTGATTTGGTACTACTGTCATCATAAGAAACAATCATATATCAAATAATGGATGTTTTATATATCATAGATACCAAGAAAATATTTGAAGCTCTGGTCAATACTAATTTGTAACTAAAACATTACCCTTTCTCTACACTATTTTCAAGGTACTCAAAGAAGGATGAGGTATACTGTATTAAATTTGCTAAGGCATTCCATTAACACAACCTGGCCTCTCACTATATAAAATTAAAATAATTACCTATCTGGTATGGAGTGCCTAATATCAACACAAAGAAAGGACTTTTAATACAGTGTTTAAAACTCACACCTTGACTTTGTACAGATAGAAAAAAGTAATTAAACACACCTCTCCCTTCTAAAGCATATGAAACAAGTCCCTCTACATTCTAAAACACATTAATTTTGTCATATAAAGCTTATTCCACTATTAATTAAATAGCAGGATAAGTTATATCTATCCGTGTCCACAATGTATTAGCATTCATACTGATCATTTGGTTACACCATTTTGTGAAAATCACAGTATGAATATTACTAAGATTTATAAAAATCATATATTTCTTATTTTTTATACCAAAGTAATTTAAATGTTGCATCAATAACTATAAAAACAAAAAAACATATATTTCTTATTTTTTATACCAAAGTAATTTAAATATTGATTCAATAATTATATAAACAATGCTACCAATTTATTCAACTAAAAATAATAATGTACAAACTGATGTGATACTTTATATTTTCATGAGGATTGTTTGTGGAGTTAGAAATATCAATAAAATTACCTATCAAAAAATTACCTATGTATATGTATGCATACATGTACATTATTTCAAATTAGTTCAGTCAAACATAGCAAGGCTTTCTTTTAGTGGATGGAAATACTGATCTTATTCTAATGTAGAGCATAAAATAAAACCAGCTCAAAATATGACTAAATGAACTATTTACTAACATAATCTTGTTAAAGATTTTTTATGTGCGTGTGTGAATGTAAGTGAATGTCTATATAGGGATAGCTATGTGCTCACATGCCTGTTGCATGCACATATAAGAATATTAAAAAAATAATATTTATTCTTTCATTTTCTTTTTACATGCACTGACTGATATCCACTTCCACTCATTTTGAAGAATTTATCACTGAATGTAACACAGGCATCTTATTTTCATGGGTGCGTTTGTGTCGCTCAAGGTTATATCGCTGGGCTGTGCGGTAGGGGCAGAGCGGGCAAGCAAAAGGCTTTTCGCCAGTGTGTACTCGAAGATGCCGCTCTAGGGAACTTGCGAAGTCAAACTCCTTGTTACAGTAGGGACACGGGAAGCGAGCTGGGCGTCCTTCCATGCTCTGTTGGGGAATAATGTTCAGTCTGGTTATGTAATGTTCTTCAATTTTGCTTTCCCTTAATTTCAATCTAATAATACATAATGGTATATCTGGTATCTGTCTGATCTTGTACAGTTGCAGGAGCACTTGTTAAGATAATTGATATCATATACAAAGTGTCTGTTACATTTATTTCTTTTACTCTTGAGATGTAAACAAGATTTGTTTGAATGGCCAACACCCTCAGGCATATCAATTTTTAGTTCTAATATAGTGACAAGGAAGTGAATAGTCATGTTGGTGCCGGACTTTCTTTACAGATTCATTCAATTCCAATTTCAACCTGTTCAATCTGTGGAATAATGGAAAAAGTGAAGGAGACAGAGGGGGGGGNAATATTATATATATAGATATATTGTATTAATATTTATATATACATATATATTACAATATATATATATATATTAATACATATATATATATATAAATATTGATACAATATATATATTATATATATATATATATATATAATATTAATACAATATAAATATATATAATACTAATATATATTAAATATTAATACAATATATATATATATATATATATTATAATATATATATATACAATATAATTAATATTTATATTATATATATATTAATCAACATTCATATATATATACACACATGTATTTAGATCTATATATCTATATCTATATAAATTTATATATACACACATATATATATATATATATATATATACGTATATATATATATATATATATATATGTATGTATATATAAATATATATATATTGCTGTTGTTTCTCTACATCATGTCAAGGTATTCATAAATACCAATAAATAGACAATGATGGACAAGTATATGCATGTGCATGAGCCGAATAATTATTAGCTATATTTGAATAATTGATTTGGGGGTACTTGTTGAAAGGCATTGTTTTTGTGAACTTTTATTCATAACAGGAAAAATGTCTTTTTCCAAACAGGTTCATAGTGTTAGAACATGCATATAGATGATTTATGTACATTTTACTTACATATCCAGATTTATATTTGGATCTTCAAGTGTGGTTTATATAAGAGCATTAAAAATGCTTCAAAAAATAGTGTCTACTGCCCTGCCCTTGGAAGCTTTTGAATATGTTGAATTTGCAATAGAGCAATTTATGAAAAATAATTGTCTGCTCTTGGTATAATGTTCACCAGTCGTGCAATATCCTTTAACTGTGATATTACTCTCCAAACTGGGTTATTGACTATGATTTTAAACATTGATGTCCCTAGATGGTTTATAAGCTTAGATTAGCTTCTGAAGGATACTTCATTTATTAACAAATGATAATAATGATGGTCTTTATCAGGAAAACTATTTTCAGACCCATATCTCTCCCCCCTCCTTTCCTTTCACACATTATACTTGATTCAAGAGAAAGATGAACTATTTTTCATGAAAATCTGAAATCTAACGAGTAAGGGTTACCAATAAATAACAGAGAAGGGCCACTGCAAATTTTAGAGGATATACCCAATTTTAGACTGTGTTAGCACTGGCTATGATTTAAAGGACAGTGCACCCTACAATCCATGCAAACAAATAACCTTTGAAGAGACTATACATTGCTTCATGAGAGGGTGCTTTTGTCTCCTAGTTTTTGGTATTTTTATTTTTACTTCTATTTATATATTTTTTCTCTGTTATATCTTAGTGTTTGATTACAGTCCAGTATAAAAATAGATAGGACATTACAAGGTAGTGTTTTGCTTGTATTATCACAGAATATGTGAAAGAACAAAGAACAATTTTCTTGCAAGCAGCCTGCATCATTGTTAAATCCTCAGTGTTCAGAATTCCCCCTTTTCATAAAAGATGAAAGGCTTTAATTTTTATGGGTTAATTTTAGCTCTCTAGTCTTTGTTTTCATAGATAAGATAGTGAAGTTCTGCAGTATGTTAACAGTAATCCATTAAGAGTGCGAATTTCTTTGACATACACTTGTAGGAAGTAGTTTTCAAACATATTTAAAAATAAGAGAAACAATATTGACCTTTTTTTGGTTTTGTGACTAACCACTTGGTAATTACTTTAATGAAAACTAAGGGAAAATACATATATATATATATATATATATAAATATATATATATATAAATATATATATATATAAATATATATATATAA